TATTATTTTTATAAAGATTATTTTATCTTTATCCTTGGGTTTTATCTTTGAAATCTCTTTTTTTTTAAATTGAAATGTCAATTTATTTTGATTTTGGATCACAAAGCTTCTATTATTGATTTATTATTGATTATTTCATATTGTACAAGTCTTTTGAAAGTCTTACAATAAACAGAGCTTTCAATAACTCTGATTCGCTAATAGGCGCGCATTATAAATTCGTAAAAAAAAAGAAGGAAATAGGAAGAGGACAACGAATAGACTTATTACTGAATGAAAAATAAATAATTCTACACAATTCTATCCGTTAAATATCAAAGAGTGATCGTTACAATAACGTTAATCTTCAGTACGTTGAACGAAGCTCTCTTTAATCGGGATCATTCCCCCAAAAAATGAGTATTATTGTACAAAGTATTTTCTAGCATATTTGATTATGCGTAGTATGCAAATTATACTATTAATTTGTATACTACGCATATAATTTGGGGATAGGTACAATATTAAATGCGGGTCCTTTATCCTGCGTACAATAACAAACTTGATATACTATACGTTGTATAGTTGTGCTGTGTTGTAATTATGACAATTTATATGGAAATTACATACAATTATATTAACGCGTTCTTAACTTTAGGAAGATGTGTATGTATGTGTGTGTAAGGAGGAATTATATATCTACAAAATTTTTCAATCGGTTATGAAATTATCCATTGTCGGATGACTCGTCTCTCTCTACTTCATCTTCACAGATAACATTTCCTTCACATATATCATCAATTAATATTTCAGATAAAAATTATTTAAAGAATAAATAATCTAAAGAAATATTCAGAAAATTGTTTCTGATCCTCTTTCAAAGGGTAGCAATTTTTTGAATTTTATTCTTAGCTAATATCACTATATATTCAAAATTATTATCGCTTGTTTAATAAAGAGAAAACAGAAAAATGTTTCCGCACAAATTATCATAGCTTTTAGTTAAAGTTAAAAAAAAAAGGATTGAATCATTTATTTCATACAAAATTAGTCTAATTGAAAATTAGAAAATATATTAAAATAATATTGAATTCATTTGACAAAATATATAGTTTTATTGCAATATACTTGCAATATTTTAAGTCTTGAGTATAATAAGATATTTAATATTGAAAATAAAGAAATTATAACAGAAAGAGAAGGATATCACAATTTTATAAACATTTACATTCATTGTTGCATGAAGAGATTAAAATGATTACTACATAATGCTATTTTAGATTTCTCTTACATGATTTTCTTAAATTATCGAATTAAAAGCGTCAATTTATTAATTGTTAAAACTTTCTGTTTTCTGAAACCGAATAATGTTTATCCGAAATATTCTTTTTAATTGATGACAAATAATTGTTATTTTAATCAGCGAAGAAGATGAATGTTACATGTTACCTTTTAAAATGTAGCACGCTTTCAGCTATTTTATCTAAAAGATTAATTAGAATTACAATATTATATACATAAAAGACGCGTATTGCGTTGGCACAGCAAAGATGTGTGCCCGGACTGCCATCCAGCACTCAGCAGAAATTTTTATAAATAATTAACATGATTGATACTAAAGTTTTTTTTGAACTTGTTTCTTTCTCTTGCTTTTTCAAACAACTGAACTGCTTGCCACTTACGGAAAATACACGTCCATTTCCAGTTCAAAGAACATTCGATAACTGTATACTGTAATCTTTCCATACTAATTTTGTTTCAGCTAAATTATTTTTATCATACACAAAAATAGTATAAAAATGTATAAAATTTTATGAAAAAGTTCGATAAAGTTCTACAGTTTTAACGAATAAAAGTTTTCTCTCTGAAATAAGATTATCTTAAAACCGAATTGAAAATTAAGCTTGTGGATTTCTTGCATGAATTATCATATAATATATATTCAAATAATAAGATAAAATTATTTATCCTCTGCATATTTAGACAGTGTGAGATGTATTTTTGATTAATGCGGATGATCCGCATTCTTCATGTACTGCTCCAACACGTGACAACTATCGAACTACGTAAAACAACGTACGCTTTGACATAGTGACGTAGAATAAATGATTTAAGTTTTCATCGTTTTTATCTTTATTCCAAGTATGAATAAAAAGACATTAATTAATTATCTACATGTCATTCATTATCGGCTTTCCTCGCAGCGCCGCCCACTGCCAGGTCAGTATTTATTAAACGGTTGGCAGTCCCGGCTTTAATGGAATGTTGCGATTACATTATCTAATTAATGCGAGCGATACAGTCTATGGCTATCGCGCGTCACATAATTATACTGTCTTCGTTCGTGCCTCATATCGTCATGTTCGTCGCATTGTCCACGTTCCTTTCCTCTCTCCTCTCGTAATATACTAAATCATAATCTAAAATTATAAAGCCGCCCGATTAATATTGTATTTATTAATAACAATATCGCTTTCTCGCATTTGCGCAAGCTGAATATGTGTATGTATTGCCTTTTTATTTTAACTTTTCAAAACTCACTGTTTAAAATTTTATTATATTTATTTTTCACTTGAATTTCGCTGGTCCAAAAACATATTTCAGAAATACATATTTCCTTCGTCAACGTTTTACTAATATTCTGCAATAATACCTAATAAGCCGAATTTTTTAAATCGACATAATTTTTTATTAAAGAAAAATACCTTTATATACATTAAAAAGTTATTCCAAATTCAAATCTATATTTTTAAATATTAGATATAAAATCCTATGAAAATTTTCTGCAGGTTATCGTATCATATATGTTGAAAATTTTATTTCAATATTTTTGTTGAAATGGGTTTATATGAATTTCAAGTATTTGCGTCTCTCTGAAAATCGATCTCTCTATCTCTCTCTGAAAAATCGATAAAAAATGGCAGAAAGATAATTAATTGTTAAATATTTTACCTCAGTCTACTGCTCCACTTGAGATTTCACATTTCTCCGTATTGATATTAAAAAACAATTTATCTTCTCTGCTCTTATCTTTATATTATATTAATATTTTGAATCGATTAATACGTTCGCTATCATGTTGGATTCTGAAAATTTTTATTATGTTGTAAACTTACAAGTTACTACAAAACAATTACTTGATGTAATTAAAATCACAGATTATGCGTGTTACTTATGCGGGAGAATAATATCATGCGGGATAATTTCACAAATTACTTGATAACAAGTTGGATTTTATTTGTTTTAATACAAACAAATAAAATTACTTGTATCGTCATGTTTACGCGACACTGATAGCGAACGTGTTAAATAGTTATCTGAACACGTATGCTTTTCTGTATAATTTATCGATGTGTTCAATTCCATTATAAATTATGATTTGATATAATATGAATCTACTTATAGATTCTCGCGTTTAATATTATAAAATGGCTAACGCAAGTACGAGAAGCCCTTAGACGCTTCTAATCTATTCGTATATAATTGGAAATTTATCTCTCTTCATTCTTATATGACACAGGGCTAGCTTTAAAAGCACGATAAAGTCAGTTTTAAACAGAGCCTTGTTTATGTACATTGTTCATATATGTAAATGGTATTCTAACAGTACATTTGTATACATATGTAAATTTATACGCTTTCCCACAGTCCTTTTCAATTTAGAAATATTAATGTATATAACAATTTTTTTCTACTGTCATCTCGTGTTAAGGTACCTAGTTTGGATGTTTCTATTACATAAACATCGTTACATTTTGTAAAAGGCTTTGCCAGCCGGAGTCGATCGAACGCGATGAACGAGGCATGGCAAAAGTTTATTCAAGGAAAGACAGACTTTTACAAAGTTAGCGCATAAATCTAATTAGCTGCCTCTTTTATTTAATATATCTCGTTTTTCCAAATGGCAGACTATAGTACATATAGTCCACGCGAATTAAAAACGAATATGTTTGCATAAATGCACATGTATGTGCTCACGTGTATATACATATACAAATATTAAAACATTAGACTAACAATCTCTGACGAAATATAGATGATTTTAAAATGAACGTTTTTCGCTAATAATGCTTCTTTATCAGTATTGTGTAAAAGTATTATTGATAAAAATGTTTCAATGTCTTTTATATTTCCTCAAAATTTGTCAGTTTAAATTTTTAACATTTTGTATATATAAATATATATATATATATATATATATATATATATATGTATGTATATTATATATATATATATATATATGTATGTATATGCGCAGCAATGAAAATGCAATATATGTATAATATCAATATATCACTGCTGCCCGCATAACGAGTAGCATAACGAATGAATCTTCGATCTTGTTTAAAATGATCTCAACGATAAAAAACAGTTCTATATATTTACACGACTTCCTTCTTCGTTTACACAGCACGCAGTTACCATCATATATGCGGCTATCTACATCGAGCCCTATCGTCGAACGCGAAAGCACTTGAACAACGTATCGTTTTACCCTGATCTTTTAATGTCCAACGTTCAATCGGTGAAAATCGGTAAGGTGTCTATTGTTCGCTCGAGGCGTGTTAGAATTTACGCGGCAGTGTTGGTTAATGAGCGAGAGAGAAAGTAGCGCGTGAAACGGCAGAAAGTACCTTTCGAACACGCATGAGATTATACCATTCGTGTTCAGATTGTATCGCAATATCTTTAAATCAATGCGTTGTGCTTAGATATTAATATATATTGCAGAGATTAATTAAAAATTCATCGACATGTAGATCGAAATTGCTGGTGCGATTAAAGCTCAAAAACAGATTTACGATTTCACATGTCAAAAGTGCATTTTCTGCCGCGTACTTGATATTCTAAAAAATTCTCAAGACGCTCATTGTTAGAGGCACTCTGTCCGCGATTGAGCTGTCAAGTAAATGCGCACGTGTAATCGCATCGCAATCGTTATTGTAACGCTAGCAGAATCATTTTACGCCAATGTTTACAATCTCGCATACGCTGGTTCCTTCCATTAGTTTCTTCGAGGACACATCGCCAGGCTAATATGCGTATGAAAATAAAAAATTAGCAACTACATAGTATAAATATATAAAACACGCTTAATTAACTAAAAATTAGTTGTCATACAACAGTAGCAATGCAATTTTTTTTATAATAATGATCATAGCGCTTAATGCTCTGTCAGTTAATAATCAATGCGATTAATGTTGCATCAATATTGAAATATTAAATCTTTGACAGAATTAAATATAAAATTAATAAATTTTTAACCTAGATAATATGTGTATAACACTTTGTTAATTCCTCAAGTAACCAAATCAAAATTAGACAAAAATAGATTTTATGCAATTTTTTGTTTCATTCAAATTTGCTACTTTTGTTTCACTCAAATTTGCTACTCAGTTTTCGAATTATTGACCTAAATAATTATACATATTTTGCTATTCTTCTTCTCAAAATTTTTGCACTATCCTAAATATTTTTTATAAGCATATTCCTCAAAGAAACTGCATACAATTGCCGTTCCCCGTGAGAGCAAGTTATTGTTAAACATGCTCTCGTTTATATTCCTCGTCATTACCAGTACTCACAGCACGGCAGTAAGTGCACAATGATATTCGAATTAGTCTTACTTAGATCTCTCTCTCTCTCTTTCTTTCTCTTTCTGTCTATGCTTCGCTCCGTCCTATTGGATATCTTAAACAAAACGCATAAATGAGGCACTTGCCCGAATCTGTACCGATCATATTAACACTCCGTTCCTGTTAAAGATCAAGATCTGCCAACAATTAATACACGGAAGGCACGCCTCGTCTCTCGCGCGAATACTTAAATGTCTCTACACAGTGTTTTTCGTTTTATCTTGCATCAGTCTAAGCACCTAACAGGCCACTGCTACGAACACAGTCCTCATATGGTATCACATCATTACATTACTACGGTTCAATCTCGGTCATCGTTGTTGTGGGCTTTTCCTTACATTCGACTCTTCTATCATTATCATTATCATTGAGACAAATAAAGAAAAAGACTTCAAATTAAATCCTATACAGAATCATTCCACATTTGCATTTTATGGAATCGCGCGACGGACAATACTTGGCAAAGCTTGAAAATACCATAAAAAAGTAGATGGGCTTATCACGAGATTATTTCAATTATTTTACGTTTCGCTACATGAAACGTAACAACGGTCGCATTTTTCCGACGCAATTTCCAGCTGCGTTCATTATGAAGCTACGGGAAAAAAGTGGGAAGGGGTTTCGCTGCACGTAGTACCATGTCTATTACAATTTCCGGATCTTCTTCGTGACGTTGTAAAAGATACATAATTATTTCTCACTTCCGGCACTGCGAGTTTCTTAGGTGCACAAAGTTATGTTGCTAGATGTTGCTCGTAATTAAACCGTAAATAGAATAAATCGCTTCATCCGCCGATGCGAAAGTACGTTGTCACTCCCGCGGCGCTTCGTGAGTCAGTCCGCGTCGGAAACACACCGAGTTCGTGCCATTTTCGCGTTTACGATAGTTCCTGTCCTTAAGCAGAAAATTGTCGTCCTCGCTGTTGTATTGGGCCATGGACTGAGATCGCGGTGGTGGACTCTGCGCGGCCATGTACGTGACCATATTGTTGAAGTTTGGCAGAAATTGCGGGTTGAAGAGCGACAGAATCCTCTCGTTGAGCTCACGCGGACTTCGAGTGGGCACCATATAATGGTCCCTCGCATGGGTAGTCGCCTCATGCCGATCGTATAGATCATTCTCAGTGGCAGGACGACGCCCACAGAGATCGTCGAGACTGTTCGCGCTATCGCTACCGCCAGAATCTTCAAGTTCGCACGTCGGCACGTTCATCAATGTCGTCTCAACGCATTCAGACTGATGATACCGAGTACATCTCTGGGTCGCTACGGATTGCTGCTGTGAGTCGTAGGCATCAAAATATTCAAGCGTGCAGACTTCATCGTTCACAACGCTCTCGTAATGATCCTCGTAATGATCCTCATCCGGCTTATGCGTATTATTCGTATGGTCCGTGGCGATGCCAGTGGTGAGACTCGTAGGCGTCGTCCCGTCATCATCCTCGTCCTCATCGCCGTCCTCATCGTTGCGCTCGTCCGATTCCGCAAGGTCGGAGGAAGAGGAGGTGGAAGATGCGCCAGAACCCGTCGGGTCCTGCGGCAAGCCTCAAACGGCTCTGTGTCGTCTTCTGTATCATATATACGTTTTCTTCACCTTCTGTACTGGCTTATTCTCCGCGGACGAATTTGCGTTCTTGCCATTTGGATTCTTGGGTGGTACATTCAACACTAAATTGATGGACTTATTATTAAATCCGGGCGATTCCGAACTTTCCGTTAGTCGATTAAGTTGTTGCCGTTGCTCGGAAGGTTCCGGGTACGATGAGCCGCGTAGTCTTTGCGCAAACCAGAAACCGAAGGCAAAACCGGCCACTAGGGAACAGAAACAGGTCCCTATTAGCGCGCCCGTCAACGTTTGGGCCGAGTATACCACCGGTGTTACAGTCACGCCTGTAATCAGAATGCAACATGCGTTAGAGAATATTGAATATTACGGCTGTCTCTTGTGCGAAAACTGCTCGAGCGTTTATTGTCTCTGGTGTTCGGAACGGACGGGAAAAATTAAAGCGACGAAAGAGAAGAGAATAAAGAAAATAAAAAAATAATAGAGAAACAATAAAGATACAATCGATTTTTGCGAACATATCACCCGCACAAATATAATGAACGCGATAGAATGCCTCGTTATTGGTAAGCTAAACTGAGAACATTGATGAGATAATTGAAAAAAATAATGATTCTATATAAAAAAATAATAATATAGAAATATCAATTAATTTTTTTTTATAAAGCCTCATTTTCAAGAAATAAATTAAATTTAAAAAAAATGGAATAAATTATTAATGTTTATTCTATAGCACTCATAAGAATGAATAATATAAACGGCAACGTTCGTTTATTTTTAAAAGACAATACTCAAATAGTTTAATCTTGTAACTTCAATATCGTCTATCTGATATATAAAAAATTATTAAATCATAACGACATAGATTCATCCAATGACAAAATCTAAATACAATCTCAATTAATAATTATCTAACAATCTCAATTAATAATTATTTGATTACATTCACGCTTTGCAGAGATCAATAGTTATTTATTATATTCACACGTTGCAGCATTTTTACAACTTTGCGAGCTATGTAGTTTCTGAATTATTTTAAATTCGTTTTTAATACAACTCCTATTCTCTGTTTTATAACTTCTCATCAGTTAAACCATAATAGACCACTCTGTATGTTAGCATCTTGATAAAATAGATTAGTAACAAACACAAAAATGAATTGAAATGTTCTCCGCTTTGGAGAACAAACATAAAAGGACAATCGGTGAAAGCGGGATCGCATATTATGAGAAAAATTTTCGACTTCGAACGCTGAAGGTAATGTCTATCTGTCGGTGTGATGTGTGACGATGAACATTGGATATCGCAGAGGGTTACCTTGAGGCTCGTTAGCCCTCGGCTGTGTACGTCCGTACTGATTTTCCCGATCCAATTCGATGATGATTTCATTCTCCCGTTCATCGGGCTGCTCGTCGCGCCCAATTTCGGACGCCACCGCTGGTTGGACGGACTTCGTTACCTCTGGAGTAACATTCACCAATATGATAGACGACACATGATTATGTATAAAATGATTACATATAAAATGCATTTTGCATATTTACAGCATATGCACTATCGACATACACTAGATCAATATACATCTTCACACTTGATACCAGGTTTAGATCCAAACTTTATATTCGAGAGATTTATATGCACAATGACTATGAAAATAAGATATCAGAAATTTATTTTTTCCTTTAGTATAATTCATTTAGTGTCGTTTAATTATTTATATATTGTTTTTTAAACGTCAAGTCTGAAGAGGAAAAAAATTTATAAGAAACTTGATACATAAAGATATCTGATACGTCCAAAAATGCTGTAAAGATATACATAATGTGTCTAGTGTATGCATGAATATATGTGTATGCTATGAAATAGCTGATCCTGTGTTAGCCGTGCGAGCAGTATTCTTGGCATAGTTGAACTTGCGAAACAATATTACTTAATCATTTCAGACCTGACGCATACGATGTACATATGTTTCAAGAATTCTTTAAGTTTAAATTTAGTTATACACGATGTGTGTCAGTTTGTATATTATTATGTACATATGTGTTTTGATTTTTCCTATGATAAACGGTTTCTAATAAATTCTACTTTTCTTCGTTTCTTTTTAAATTTTATTAATTTTTCATAAAACTGAGCTTCGTATAAAAAGTCAAACAGGAAAACAGTCAGATCTGGAAAAGTTCGATAGAAGTTATAAAGAAATGTCCTTTAATATTTATTGCTCGTGTATTCTTTACAAGCATATTCGACAAAAAAAGCGTGTCCATAAAAAATCACAATTACATATTTAGATTATCACATATTAGATTTATTTAGCTAAGTCTGTCTCTCTTCTATTTTTACAATTTTTAAAATAAAATAGCCATACATCCACGTACTTGTAAGAAAGGAGTAAAAGGAATAAAATGTAAAGGAAACGCAATTAAAATAAATACATCTACTTTAAAAGTTTTTAAAAATGTAAGTCTCCGAAAGATTATCTATTCTTTTTTAATTTTCTATTTAATTCCTTTTCAATTTCATTTTTTATGATCTTATGATACTTCTTTCGTAGAACGAATAATGGATGTTAGGGAACAAACTTGATTGTTCACGTTGAAAGTACAAGTTTGAAATAGATCATGGTGCATCAAGAAATGTTCAGGAAACTTTTCGAAAATCTTGAAACTTTTTAAAATCCTTATGTTGAATTCATATATAGTGTAAACATGGACTTTAGTGCAAACGACAATTTTAAGATATGTCCTGAAAATTAGGAATCAAAAATAATTTTGAATAAATCGCGTGATTTCGAAATATTTAAAAAGTTTGAAATAGAAATATTCGAGCCTCAAATGGATAATTCGAACCGTTTCGCATTTCTTTCGTATTCATATTCATTGATATTCATACATAAAAAAAAAAAATAATAGAATAAAAAATAAAATGGAAGAAAGCCAGATTATATCAAATAAAATTATTAAGCAAGCGATCAGACAGTCCAAGCAATCCATATGCGAATAATATAATCATTCCTAGATCCCTATAATCTATGGGCATCTTGATAACATATAGTTTATATCAAAGATAATACCTGGTTCACGTCCACAGCTTCTGTGTCTACCAGTCGAGATATCTTGGAACAATGTTTTGTCGGCATCGTTGTCGTGAAGTTTCGTCAATACTGCCACGCAAAGATTCGCGGTCGCATCCCAGGCGCAATGAGGATCCTGTAAGGCGACGCAGGACCTGCAAGTAGCTGCAGCAGGCGAATCACAATGATGTAAGGGAACTGCGCGAATCTCAGAGTCCGCGAACACCACCAGTTTGCTTGCTTCACCAGCTAAATGAACTACCAAAAGGTCTTTGACCGCTTGACCTGCAATAAACAATTGCATATCTCGATATAAAATAATACGAAACTGTATTGCCTAATATAAAATTGCATAAAATATATTTTAATTTTAACCCTATTTCCTATTAAAATATATTTTAACCCTATTTCCTATTTAAATATATCCTATTAATATATATTAAAATATATTTTCCCTGCATATATTTGCAATTCAAATATCGCAATATTAAAAGATAAAACGAAAGAACGCTTAATATAACAATCAATAAATTGTTAATCAAAAGTATCAAAGTATGTAATCAAAAGTCAATAAAAACAATAAAAACCAAAGTATAAAAATGATTTTTAAAAATATATGAATATTTACAATTATTCGTATCTGTTCTTATTAAGAAGCTTATATATATATTTAATGAGTAAAAATATCCAATAAAGAAAAAAATATTAAGTTTGATCGCATTATGAAAAAAAAAAAAACAAGATATCCAAGGAATATGGAAAATATATTTTCAAATATCGCTTCATTAAAATATTATTGTAATAAAAAGACTTCACATTTTATGTATATTCCGTGAAAAAGAATATATGTGTTATTTATCATATGATGTGATTTATAAAATCACATCTTTTTTAATTTTTGCAGGAAATAACACATCATGTATATAAGAAGTACGATACGTAAAGCTTCTCACAAACTTTGCAAAAGAAGCGTCGAATTTCTTATTCGATCCTAGGCTATTCTTTCGTTTGGCTACTCTCTATATTCCATCGTACGAAAAGATTGTATCGAAACCAGACATACACGCTGAAGATCAGACGAATTCAGATAGTTTGTATGATCTATTCAAATTGATCATATACATCAAATTTTCTTTCTCTTTGTGCTTCTTTCCTTCTTTCTTTATATTTATCTTCCCTTTTAAGAAATAAAAATACTAAATATTTCACAAATTTCACAAACATTGTAATAATCTTTAAAAAATTTTTATTAATGTAAACTTGGTCACATGATGATCGTGATTAACTCCCATCCCTTTTTCGATTCGTCATACATTTATTATGCAATATGTGTACAGTACATTTTAATGCAGAATTATGCAATATAAAAATATTTATATGGAAATATAAATATTTAACGGAAAAACTGAAAAAACATTATTTTTCGCCAAACATGCGACTGCTATATTTATTTAGTAAATTTACTTACCGAATCTTAATACTTGGACATCACTGATAATAACTTGACCAACATTATCACGTGACTCTGGTGCACGTGTATTGAGTGCCTTCAAAACGCGACCATCATCTGCATGCAACAAGTAAATTTATTAATTTAATTTCGCAGAAATATAAATCATTGTTATTACATACAAATATAATATGTTACTTATATGATAATTATAAATAATAGACTAATCATTATTATAAATATAATAATTGTATATAATTATGTATGTAAATATATAATTAAATAATAACTATACCTGTTCCGATATAAAGTATATCGTACGCTTTGCCATCCAATGCCTTTACTTGAGGATCTACAGCAACTTTGGTAAATCTGTAACTACAATCATTCAAATTAAAATTCCGAGTGTTGATCGTTAAACATGCCTATGCCTATTAAACATTAATAGAAAAATTACAAACTAATTATTTTTTCTAATATTTTCATAACAATCTAATCTTGTAATCAATTCAAAATTGACAAAAAGCAACTTAAAGATGTAAACATTCAAACATTCAACTGTGTTTAAAGATAAATATTGCGTACACGCAATAATAAAGACGTTATAAAAATAAATTAATAAAAATATATTAGTCTTAGTCGGTTGGATCACTTACTTGAAACTGGTTTTCGTTATCACAGGCAATGAAAAATAGGATTGCACCGCGTCGTCCATGAGAGGATGCGCCTTGGCGAAATTAACAGTGATATCCGGAAGTGTTCTGGAGTCATTGACACAAGCACCGGGTCTCGGCTCAGGCACCTTTTCCGGAAGTACTCGCAGCCAGTTGCTGTTTATAGTTTCTTGCTGTTTGAAAGCACCCTGGAAGACCTCAAGAATACTATCTATGGAGAAAGCGCAGATAGCTGAGCCACCGATGGAGTTTACAGGAGTCGTGAAAACTCCATACACCAGACGCGCAGACTTTCCCGCGTATCGACCATCAGTGACATCACTCGTTGATTCTAAATAACATATAGAAGAGTATTTTTAAAATAATTTTTATCTCGTCACATTTTATCTCTTCACACGAACCAAATATTAACACTCCAAATATCTCTTAACCAAGGGAATATTTCAGCAATTACATAGAATATTAAAAAAGAATGCTGAGTTTGAAAAAAATATTTGCAAGATCCAATTAAAATGATATTTTGATATTTTAAACAAGCCATGTTTTTTTTTTAGTCATCTATTTGTGATTAATGATATCATCTAAAATTCACTGTACTCAAATTCACGAAAATAATCGCTGAAACATCGAATGCTTTGCATTGCGGAAATTGCTGATACATCAAATATTGATGATATATCGTATTCGCATTTAATTTCATGTTACTTATTTTACTTTTTTATTTTCTATTCGAAATGAAGCTTTTCTACTCGCAATCTCGCAATATTAATTAAATAATTAAAAAAATTTAATTTAATTAATAAATATTCAATATTGAAAGCAATCATTTCATCCGTTATAAATTTCTCGTACGCATGTCTGAGTTCTATTTTATGAAATTACTGGAGGCTATACATCGATATTAATAAACACGTTCCGTCATTAGTCTCATCTTAGTTCTGCCGTTAGAGACAAAGTTCGAACAATCAGCAGAGCAGTCGAGTCCTGTGATTTCGCGGTGTCTCTTAGACATCTGGAGGTACGCCAACTTCGCGGAGCCAGCATAGGGATTTCAATTCGATATGCGGCGACAATATTCTACGAGAATAGAGCAGTCCTCTCGTTCATTCTCCATTCCTACCGATCCTAAACGCGATAGTGCACGGCTATTGTACCTCACACTCGAGATTAGTCCATTTCGCTGTACGATAGATAACTGGAGAGACTTATCCGATCGTGTTATACGCATGGAACAGACGAGAAATCCGAAAATCGATATATGTGGCAAAAACTCTTGCGCAAGTACACAAAAATATTATAGAAATATAATAGTTAAGTATGAGTTAAAAGTGTTCCTGTTAATCAGAAGTCAAACAGAAAATTATATTTATTATTGCGCGAAAATATGTGTCGTGTTGTGCAGAATTTCAAGGTAAATATTTACAAGATGAGAAAAAAAATGTTGAAATCTTCAAATAAAGCATTTTTTAAAAATAATATTTCAAATGAAAATTTCAGGAGAGGAATGGCGACATACACAACAAACTTTTATAGTATGTATTTTTTATAAGATACCAATGTCATTGATATTTTTATAAATGGAAAAAAAATGATATTTTTTAACGTAATTTTATTCTTTTTTTCCTAACTATTTTTGCATGTAAAAGCAAAGTTATTCTGTATATTAATATATTTCTGTAAATTTTAAATTTTATTCTGAGATGATTTTGATGTAAAAATATGAAACGCTTCATAAAATATCCATTTATAACTATATCTCGCTACTTTTACATAAGATAACGAGATGATGTATTAAAAAAAAAAATAACACATAATGTGCATCTAGAAAAACAATATATAAGGTGTGTATAACATATTGCAAATTATGTTGTACATCAATGTATCACATGTGAATAACACAAACATTATTAAAGCCAACTCATCCTTTCTATAGATTTCTATAGATTTCGAAAAACTTTTTAAGATCTTTAAAATTGCTTTTCCTTTCGTACAATATTTCGTAGAACGCGAAAAATATATCGCACGGAAATCGCGAGAAAGCTTGCTTAAAAAGCAAGAGAAGCGCGATGTATGTACTAAATGGGGACTAACGTAGTGCAGAGCCTCGAGGAGGCTCTTTTACGAGTCCCTTTTGGAGGGATGTGCGAGAGCCCTCGTTTGAAACTACTCGAGCGTGGTCACGATCGAAGCCGCGAAGGGACCGCGCATATGCATACTCACGTATTTCGTTGAAATAGAAAGGGTACTCTCCCGGTACCGAACAGTTGAGCCTCGCTTTCAGGAAACTCGTCCATCTGTCGCTAAATGCGTGTGGCCCGCCCTTATCGTGCTGACAGACTCTGCCGATCCGCGAGTAGACCGACTGTAATGCGAATCAAGCTTGTAATCGAGCTGGTTTCCATATTTTTTCAAAATGGATCCATATTACTTCTTCTATCATATCACAAGGAATCTTTTCTCTTTAAAATATTTAATTATTAAATTGCATTAGCAAGAAGTACGGTAAACGGATTTGTTTCATTTTATAAGTTAAAAAAATAGAAAGGTGCGTGCGCACGTAAAGTACAAGTATGCGTGTGCCAGCAAAATATAGTTAAGATAATTCCCTTGTAAATCTTAATATTTTATAATCTTTTTTTTTTTTGTAAAGAAATTCTTAGGAAAAACAGATAAAACGGTTGAAATATAATATGTAAAATATATATTAATTTGCTTAAAAAAAAGTTAAAAATTATTATTTATTTGCGAAAAAAGCAAAAATCTCTTACCTTTCCGCAATTCATATACTCCACAGCTGTTTCACGAAAGAAGAAAAATACATAATCCTGATACGCGAATGAACTGACGAAGTTGGGACCTGAAATAATAAAATTGCATCGAATTTGATTAACAAACTTACTTTATACGATATCATGTTTACAAATTTCGCAATATTGCCTCTTTCATTCTATTATTTATCGATTAATAAAAACAAAAATGTTTTATTATGATAAGATCAAGTTAAATATTATAGATAATAACTTTATATTTCTTATAAATTTACATAATTTATATGCTAATGTATAAATTTACATAGTTTATAATATAATTTCTTATAATTATATATTATAATTTATGTATTATAAATTCATATTTCGATAAATTTATTTGATATTTACATAAAGCGATATTTCGAAAATTATATTGTTGATTTGGTAATTTGAATCATTCTATTGTGTAATAAAAATTTCTTTTACTCCTTAAATATGAACGTAATATTGTAATAATAAAAACACAATTATAATTTTGAAGCTAGTATTTGTTTAGACGAAAACCATCGATCATTTCATATCCAATACCAAAAAACTCTCTACCTATTCAAAACTTTTAATATGATCTAATAATTACAATAATTAATAATAAGTAATTAATAATAAATCATGTAATTAATAGTTATTTATTAATATTGCGGTGATAGAAATTGTTATTGGTGAGAGAATTGTTTACGCGGAACAAATTTTGCCAAATTTGCAAAATAAACTTGTAAAATTGCAAAACTAAACGTGGACGCTCCATATCCCAGGATTTCCAAGGGATTTACCGTTCAACTGATTGAGGTCCGAGCGTTCGGTGCGAATTTTATCCCTGTGAATCAACGGTTCGCCACCGGAGAAGTCAGCCACCGTCGCAGCATATAACTGTCCCTCTGAAACATGCATAAACGTTTCCGTCAGTCGCACCTTCCACATTTGCAAGCTAAACGAGCGCCATCAGGTCGATGGTTATACAGCGGCTCTCAGGGTTAATTCATCCTCTTACTAACGCGTCTCTCGGAAATTGCCCGTTGAATTTACGTCGGTGACACTACCCGCAGGATGGTTTTCGCGTGTGTGTACGCACCAGGATGATGCTCTATGACATGACCGAACTTTCGCTTCTCGCTATCAAAGTCCTCGAAGGACCGAGCCGGGAGCCTTGGAGCTCTCTTAAACGACGTCACATCTCGAGTCTACGCGGATAATTATTGTTAAACCTAATTCCGCCACCCTCGCAAATTCACGACATCTCTGTATTAATTTCAGCAGAAGTGCGTCCCTTCACTCCAACCGGATCCTTTACCGGATACTTTATTACTATCAATAGACGAATAAATAAAAAGAACGTAAAGATAAATACCGTCATTTAATAATCAAACTATTAATATTAATATTTTAATTAATATTTTAGAAATAGAAAAAAATCTTATTTGATTTGTAAATTTAATAATTCTTCATTAAAAAGTTCATAAAAAAAGCAAATTTCATTTTCAGTTTAAAATAATGAGAATCCTCTTTATAAGGTTAATACTCTTTGCAATATTGTCTAATTTTCATTGCCACAATAATATCGTACATTAATTTATTTCTGTGTGTTCTACTTTCGATATATTCTTTCTTTTTCAATTCTTCAATAAAAACTAACGACGTAAGATCCGGTAGTTTCAGGGCTTAAAGAAACTGATCCTCGGAATTACATTGTAAGTCTTGCATTGACGAAGGCGAGCAGCATTTTAAAATGAAGAATTAAATGGAGAATTATTTCTTTCTAAATTGAAGATACTTAGTTGAGAAGATACTTCTCAGCAAAAATAATTACTTAATAGAAATTGGTATAAAAAGATGTATAAGATGATGATACAGAATGATTAAAATCAGAATATCATGCGAAGCACATTCAATAGAAGCGACTATCTTGCATGAGCATAACGGTTAAGACTGGAGTAATATATGAAAGTCTGGCGTGTGCAAGTCGCATTAAATCATATATACACGTTTCCACAAATCTGCAGATTACTTTAATAATTGTTATAATGTAATAAAGTAAAGAGATAAGCATGATATACATTAACAGTTACAAGGATAATATTTAGAAAATAAAGTGTAATATGGTAATAAAAAGAAAATGAGAAAAAGGCATTTAAAGACACTCTTATATAATATCAAACTAAAAATTCGAGGAAATAAATAAATATATATACGTGAAAAAATGTATTATGTATTAATTAAATTTATGTATTTCATAAAAATCAAATAATTAGTCAATTTTTGTGATGTTTGAAAATAAAAAGAGAACAAGAAAAGACTCATATACGTTTTATATTTTTTATTTCAATGAAATAAATAATAAATATAGAAAAATATTTTTAAAAATATTTTTATCTGTATTGAAAGGAAAATAATAGGAAAATAATAGGTAATATCGTGCAAACAAAATAGGTTCTGCAAGAAACTAACGAAACGAAAAATAATGAAGGAACGAGAGGAAAACCGTAGCGTAATAATATTAAAAGTTTGAAAAGAAAGACATACATTTTAGAAGGACATATATAATTACTAAAAGGTGTTAAAAAGTCTATTTTTATTAATATTACGTTGGCATAAAAAGAGATTTTGTTATATAATATTTGTCAAATAAAGTTAAAAATAAAACACATAACTACATCATATTTAAAATAAACATGACGCACTTTGTGCAAAAAAAACATGTCTATAAAAATCTGAATAAGAATATCGATAAATAATAAAAATAAAAAAAAATAATAATAATTATGTTCAGTTTTGTTTCACATTTTTTCTCTCTACGTATTCCCATGCAGAAGAGAGCATGATTTCAGAATAGTGTTGAGTATACGCAAACCTTTGTATACGTACACTGTATACAAAAATAAAAATTAATTTTTACATATGCTTTTATTTTCGTATCAACATAAACAAGAAAATCAATCATTCTACAACTGACATTCGTATATAATTTTGAAGTGATGTAAAATCAATTCCATGTTGGAGCTTTCGAATACATTTCTTTAAAGTATAGATTTAACTCTTTCTCATTCTTGCTGTCATTTTCAAAATCATAAATTTCTCTCTGCCATTCTATATGGAAAGTCTTAAAACTTCGATGCTCGACGGTCTCTCCAAACTTGGGCAGCCAAGTCTCGAGAGTATTGCTTGTTAAACTACAAGAATTGCGACAGATTTAATCTTTTGTACTGAAAAATGTTGATAGAATTTCGAATTTAGAAATCGAACAATCTTGTAATTAGATATATCGATGACAACAGACACTGAAGCACTGACTACATTCGCTAAGCGTAAGTAGTTTGATCAATAGATCAATGTGTAATTTAAATGTTTATATAACGATAGATCTGCCCGATTTCTATTGCCAATTTCTCCGTGATAATATTGCACTCGGCAGATCTGCTCGATTTGTATCACCGATATGCTTTCATATTGTGTCTGCAGGCTCGCCAGCAGCGTAATGCGGATGCAATTGATGTCAATCTGTTGTAATATACTGCTGCCAAATTGCTAGCATACTGTTATCATTTTACCTACCGAATATATCATAGATAATAATTATATAAGTTAATATGCGAGAAATAAAATGTTAGAATTAAAACTGTGTGCTTGCTGATATCCAATTACGATAGAATTGTCTTATCTAAATAAATTTGACGATATTTTTTTGTATTTTTTGTATTTCTCAGTAATGGAAAGTATAACACATATACGTATAATATAAAATTCAATTTTTTAATAGTTCAATTTTATTATAAAAATAAAGGAAAGGACACTACAGGTTTGTATTCAATAAAAAAACTATTCAATAAAATAGTTAAGTTTTAGTTTTACAAATTTAATTTTCAATTTACACGCACGAATGTACGTGCGGCCGCGCCGAGATAAACTCTTCAATTTGTTAAAGAATTCTTAAACGAGAAAAAGCACGTCATCTTGGGAATATAATCCTGTACGCGAACAATTTTTCTCAGTCTCGTGCGCAATCGGTCGCAAAACCTCTGAAAGATCCATGGATTTGATCGCTATACGGTGTTTGTACGGAGTACATAATGCGCAAGTATACACAACGGGTATCCGCCAGTGCGATTGCATCTCCTCCCGTGCTCCCGTAAAGGAGATCCTCGAAGGATTCGCCGCGGCGCGGCTCCTCGCGGAGCTCCCATATTTCACGTTCAAAAAGCACGATGGGATTTGAGGCCGGCCAACGTATGCGCGCGATAAGTGTATATAGCAACCGGGCGGTCATATATAACGGGGGCGAGGCAGACGTTAGACTTAGGGGGATGAACGTGCCCGTTGCAGGCTACAAATCTACGGGCTGTGAGCCCGCCGTGGCAACGCCGAAGCTCGCGAATATCGTGCGCCACGCGCGTAATACCTGCGGGAAAGAGGCTTGGCTACGTACGCGCGAGCATCCCCGCACCCCCCCCGCCCCTCCCGCGTCCTCCTCACCGCGCGAGCATCCCGCGAGCGGGACACGTAACGCGCGCCCTCGAGATCCGGGAGGAGCGTTGCGTACGCGTTGCGGCGGCGCTCTATATACTTAGGGGTGATTTAATGCACCGTTGCGTCGCCGACGCGTTACGCCCGTGCCGTCGTCGTCTCCGTCTCGCGAAAACTTGACTTGAAAGTTTTCGCAGGCAGATGGGTACGGGTCGCGCTGTTGAAAGTGGAATTCGGGATAGAATCGCTAACAAAGCGTAACGTATTGTAACACAGGGATGAAGAGGATGATCTCTGGAATATTAAGCCCTTCCGCATAACGCATATCTTTGGTGAATTTCGAGCAAAGAATTATTATCTTTCAAACAAAAGCTACGCTACGCTGTGAAAAACCTAGCTACGTTAAGCTATAGCTTAATATAGTTAAGTGAATATAACTTTTGTCTGAAACATGTAATTTTTATTCACAATTAATCGAAAAAAAGAAAATGTATGATTCAGAACTAACATGTCTAAATTATTCTTTTTCCCCATACGGTTCAAACATGCACCAAATAGACAAATACTTAAAAAATAAAGATCACAATGTATTTAATAAAATATAAGGTTTACTTTTTGTACAAACATTTTTCGCGTAAAAATCTGTACATAAAAAGACGAATTGTAAGTGCTTTTGATATACATCTTTTCTCTTTATTTTTGAAACATTTTAATTAGAAGAAACTTGACGGGATTGGAAAAATGAGGTGAATACGTTCGAGCACATAATGTAATTATAAAAATTATATAAGCGAATACTAATTGCGCCTACCAATCGCAAGTATTCATGCTGATCAACTTTAACGAGACTAAACGTTGAGGCTTTTGTCGTCTAGAAATGAAACTCCTGGAAGAATTTCGCAAGATGACGAAATTCCTCAACGTGTAGAAAAGGCGGTATCTAGCTCTAGAAGTGGAAGCAATATAAGCACGTGCAGTGTCAGTACAAAGAGGCTATTGGTAAAGCTAAGAGGTGAAATTTTCAGAGAAGATCCTCGAAACGGCAAGACTTTGTCAGATCATCCCAAAATCAACGGATACGATGATAGAACGCATCCTTTTCCCGTGAGAGAATCTACATCTTCTTAGAAAATCCCGAACTATTTTACAGGGCCCGAAGCGTATTTTAGATTCTAAAGCAAACTAACTAAATTCATGAAAATAGTATCGTCGAAAAAAATGTGAAGCTCGTCTATACATTAAATTAAAGTAATACACAAGAATGTAAAGAAAGATTTAAAAAATATTTAAAATATAAAAAAATATTTAAAAAAATATTAACTCAGAATATGAAAGTATTGAAAAATTACGATTTAAGGCGATATAAAAAAGGATATATTTTAAAAAGGATTCTGTTCTCACAGAATTCCAAACAGTGAATTCTTAACTTTTTTAAATTTTAATTTATTGAAAACGTTTTTAAATTTATCTACATGTTGTAGATAGTGAAAAAAAGCAAGTTATACACTTACGTTTTTGTAAATTATTTTAATTTTTAAATTTAATATAATAACTATTTTTTAATTTTTTAAAAATCCAATAGATTTATTTATATTGGATATAGCTAAGCTAATTTAGCTTTAAAATAAATTATGTGTACTTACATTGAAAAAAGATAAAATAATAATAAAATACACTTTCCATACATAAAATCTGATATCAACTTTGACATTCAAATCTTTTTATAAAATATTTTATATAAAAATCTGAAAATTTTTATATTCATATTTATCAAAATAATATTTATGATTAATGCAAAATTTATATTATTATTTTAAATGTTTTATTAAATGTTTTATTATATCTGAAATAATAGATAATAAATAAGTTATGATATGCGTGCATTACGTTTATGTTTTAATTATTTATATCGTTCCATTATATTTTACTTCATATTCTCCTTCAATCTATTTATATCTCATTAATACATAACATGCAGCTAAATGTGGAAAGCAATCTATATTTAGGAATCGGAAAGTGCAAATTTACATGTTATAACACAATTACATAATTAACAGAAATTAATTGACAATTAATATAACAACTGTAATTTTTATTTGTTATATATGTTGTGTGCAATCGTATTTTTACGCATGTTTTGTGTAAATATATGGGCATTGATATAAAATAAATAATGAGACATAAAAAACAATAAAATTAACATTTCATTGCTGATAAATCGAGGTCATATGAAACGGAAATCGACAATATAACAATAAATTTCATAACAATATTATAAATATAACATATTGATATTGCGAATATTGTTAGACATTTGATAGCATTTATTGCCTTTTGACAGATTTGGGACAAATGGAACACCAGTACTTTTTTTAAAAAAATCAAATATTTGTATTACTGAGAATAAAAAATATAAGTATGTATATAATTTTTCTTATTATGCTTATTGCGCATTATCAATGATATTATCGTTATCATTACAGTTTGCATTTGTTAAAATTAATGCAAACAATTTTTTTTTTTCTTATAATAGATATCTATGTGATTTGAGATTTTTGCTTGAGGAAAAGACCGATGAATTAAATTTTTGCTAAAAAGGATTTATATAAAATTCCTAGACATTAAATTATTTTATTAAATTAAATTATTTATGTATAAAATTATGTATAAAATGAGATCCAAGAATCGCGCGTTTTAACTTCCCTTTTGAATCCCTCATTTTAACTATTCGGTCAAAATGTACATGAGGTCAATATCTTTACGATTGACCCGAGCATCCCGATAGACACACGCCATTTACACGTAGAAATATCAAACGTGTTTGTAAAACAACTTCATTGAAGCAACGCATCGTTTGCTTTGCTACAGTATTGATTTACCGTTTGCACTTTGGCGAACATACGACGCGCGCACGTGCCTCGTAATCAGCAAATTATAACATTCAACGTACGAAACTGCACGTTTATATATCATACAAGTAAAAAGTTTCTCGAGCAAACGTACAAGATATATTTTTATATGGAATGATATCGAACTTTTACATCTCCTAACCGCGCACAGTAACGCGTATTATATTTATATAGTTTAAATGGCATGTAATATAAACAATAAGATATTATGCGCATGGTGTATGGCGTAAAATATCTCTCGTTATTCTTTGCCATTAAAAATTTTTTCTACTTGTAAAATAATGGAATTGAAATTGACGGGTAGAATAATATTGGCGGAAGATTTCATATCAATCTGACAATGAGATATAGAACATTTCAAAATAAGTCTCAGGGTTCACCATTTCTTTAATGCATGTGAAGTTCATTCATCTTTAACCCTTAACTGGAGCAGTGAGAATATACTGCGTAACTGGAGCACATAGTTTTCATGAACCTATCTCCCTTTTTATGCTAAAGATAGCAAATACATTAAAGGAAGTTTACCGAAGGATAAATAGTTTCTACGAAAAATAAATAAAAATATTTAAAACAAATAAAAAAAGACTACACTCGCTGAATATAAACAGGGCATTAATGCTTCAATCAAGATATTTTTCTCTTTGAAAAGGAGAGATTTATTTTCAGATCTTTAAATTAATACTTAATCACTTTTAAATGTTAATTATTTGAAAAACAAAAGAACTTTTCTCTTGTAGTACACGGCTTCGCCAAGGAATTGAAATTAAAATAAAATTATTCTCTTTGATACAAAATAATACTGAATTATAATAATGACTAAGAGAAACTGATTAAATAATACGGACACAAAGAAATAATCAACTCTGCAAAATTATTATGTGGAAAGTAGAAAATGTGGAAAAAAAGGAAATCGTACCACATATCGTGCGATGTCATGATGAATAAAAAGAGGAAAGAAACTTTTTAGAATCGTTTGTCGTAGTCGTTAGTCGTTCACGCATTATTTATTACGCATTCGCTGGGCCAGACGCGAAATCATGCGTGTATCTCAATCGTCTCTGTGCGGAATGCACAAGGACTCGTGATATTCGCGTCGAGCTCCTCGTTCTCACAAGCTACTCCACTCGCTTGTAGAGCGGTCGAATCTCTCGAGTGGCACTTACCATCGTCAAAGCCACGCGTCGCCCGTCAAATCTGATATGTAGTACACAGCGTATGTTTCAAAATGTAATAAAAATCCTCCTCGATAAATATTTTCCGCCGGCGGACGGTTTTCGAAGCGTAGCGTAGAGTGGCAGGACTTCACGCAAAAATATTTCGATAACGCTACCGCCGACCTGATCGCACTGAGTTCGTTTTAGGCCGCGAGAAAATCCGTTACCTAAAATTCTTCCCGGAATAAAATAATCGATATCTCGCATAGCCTGTGCGTCGAGCGTGCATCGTTTGAATTACTATATAAAAAAAAAAAAACTTAACCGGCAAAAACCGCTGTGCTATTGTGTCGTGGATCGTAAGGACACAGTCCCAATCCGTCCATATCACTTTTACTCACGTATGCTCCGTCCTGAAAGCGAAAAAATTTTTTATTACATTTTTTTCCTATCAGGAAATCATACGGATACACGGTATATAAAAGTATGTGACTTTTTGAAATCGAATGTTTTTTTTTTTTTCATACGGGGAGTAGTTGAAAAGTAATTTGAAGTTGTCAAGATAAATGAATCACTCTGCACGTGGAGAGTAACTGCAAATAAAAAATGGAATTTAATGTCAGTCACGCTATTTTCCGGAAACGTGAGACGCGAGGAACCGCTCGAAACTTCCTATCAGGAAATTGATTTTTCTTCTGCAACATAGCTTCTCATGAAAATGTGCATTTACATTTATACGTCGCGCGTTATATGCATCATGTATGTATGCGAATAATAGGAAGCGATATAGTATCACAATAATATAGTTTCAAGATATTAGCAATTTAATAACTAATTCCAATCGCAATTACCGCTTGTGTATCTTTTTAACTGTATTAATGGACAATCGAAATATTACAATATAATTTGTCTGCTTGTACCGGCCAGACTTTTGACCGTTTGTTGAAACGACAGCCGACATGATAATAAAATAATTATATCGAATCAATTACGAAAATGGTCTATGTACTTTATCGAATAATGGATATGCAATGATCGCGATGATTGCAACGATCGATTGGCGATTTTAATACTTTCAAAGTTTCTTAATTGCTCGTGAGATATAATTGAAAATTTCGATCATATATATGGTGAATTAACAAACAATGATTTGTAAATATTAATCATAATTTTAGTACTTAAAGATATGAAAATCAACAATGTAACAACAAACTAATCAGATTTGTAGTACAAACTGACACGGTTTAATTACTCGCAGAACCGAGATTGACACTCTCCTCATTTGTTATCGCCACAGAAATAATAGAGCTCTTTGTTTAATATTATTTTCATATGATTCAATATTGATTTTGGTACATGCAGCAAACTCTTCATCCGAAATGAAAGTATCGATACCGTGATTTACCGCTGACGCAACAATATTTCTCTCTTTGATTGATGTATCAATTTATGTTTACCGTACCGTCGCGTGCTACATATTTTGGATATCATCTCTGTTTGTAACAAATGTCGACGCATTATACGGCGATGCACCGTTTTTTATTCAATCCTGCAAATAAATCCAAGTTATGTAACAATTCGAGAACTCCGTTTGTTTCCGATCCAAAGATAGAGTAATAGCGACGGAGTAATAGAATTATTAACATCGTTCGTATCAATACAAAAAAAGCTCGAAATCTCGTATTCATCGTTCGTACTTGTCCCTCGTGTTGCGACGCCGTGATTGAGTTTGTTCGCAACCCTATAGGTTTTACGAACAGGTCGTATGTAGAGCGAATTTGTGGTACGATAAACTGACTCAATAGAGGATTGCGAGAAAGCGAGTAGGACAAGCGAGGTATCTCCGTGTTGCTTTGGATCTCTTCATTTTGTCTCTTGTCTAATTTCTTCTTTTATAAAGTGCGAAGCAGTAACTAAAACGTATCGCGTTTCGTCAAAAGAGTTTCCAGAATCCACTCTTGTAAATAATTTTCGATGAATTAACATGACATCAGGAAATATATTTTATCCAAATAAAAAATACTCGTAAAATGGCTTTCTATTTCTCTCGAGAAATATTGAAAATGGAAATATTGCTAACATATTATATCTCTCTGTTTGCATTGCATTAGATTTATTTGAAATTCAGAAGTCATAGATTAGATTCAACTTTTTTCAATTGTTTTATAAAAGACAGTTTTTGCTTGCACGCGTGCGTTTCGCGATGTGAATGCTCGTCATTGAACTGTAATGACATCGTTTCGAGTCGTTGTTCATTGTAAACCGCATTCACAAACGTGTACAGACGTACGGAAAAAAAAAAAAAAAAAAAAAAATAATCGGAAAATCCGCTTGGTGCAGCGTAAGACAATTAAAAAAAGTTGCAAGCGAGACCGCCGTGCGGCCGGCCACGGTAATATCCCGAATACGACGAACGGTGTCGCAACTCATACGTGCATGTAAATGCAACGATGCATGTAAAGAAATTGAAACGCAGCGGAGCTATTCGATGCAAATGGCTATTCGATGCAGCCCGCCGTCGGGTATTCCGAGATGCTGCTGGTTGAGTCTCACGTAGTCTTTCCCTGAATCCCTTATATTTCTTCCGTTCGTTTCTCCAGGATCTTTTCTTCCCTTTACTCTCGCTCTCCTTCTCTCCGCTCCCCTCGCTCGCCGCGTATCCACGCTTCATCTATTCTCATCTGCTGGTAAGCAGTTTCGTAACAAGACCAAAATACGAGAGATAAACACAGAGTCTCGCGGAATGACGAACAGTCTCAATTCGCACACCTACTTCAGTTTAAATTTCAGTTTAAAAATTAATTTCTATATCACTTATCCTTTCCCACCAACCACGTGAGATATAAAAGAATTTTTTAAAATATTTATCTTTATTCGTATATTGAAGCTTAACAGTTAATTATCCAACGTCGTCCCTTCTATTGGCCAAATAATTACTTACAACTGAGTAAAATGGAAAAGAAGAATTTAAATTTTTACAATTTAATATTCACATATTATATTACATGATATTTTATTCAGAATATATTATATTGTCTTTCAAATATATTATCGAAATCTTTTACACTCTTCATAAAACTTCATACAGAATACGTAAACAACGCATTTGTTTTCGGTGTTTTAATATCAAAGTTTACCACGGGATAATTCGAGGCATTGCCTCGTAAATTTTGCGAGAAAACAATTGCGAGGCGCCACAGGAGACAATAATGAAGGCGTAGGCGTGTTTGCGCTTAAGATACGATAACAGCTTGATTTGTAGCAAGTAAGGAAACTTTATTACAAGTTATCACTATTCTCCAAATAATTTATACAATATACGGGACTAGAGATATTAATATAATGACATAATGACTAATATATGGGAGAAGATTTTTTTTTTATAATATTAAAAACAGTTTAACCATTTTACTTTTAGCTGTAAAAATTTTTTTTTTGTGTACGTACTTGTGTATGATTTTTGCAAAATAATGAACTCGTTTATCGTCAATTTTAATTTCTTGGAATCTTATTACAGAATATAGAATTACTAATGAGAATAATAACTAAATAATTATTATTCACGAGTTATAATTGATTATAATAATATATATTGATATTTATATCACATTACAGCTATTAATACAGACAAATACCATCAAAGATAGGAATATCCTACATGTGACAGGATTATTCTGCACGTATGAACATGTACATAACGCGCTCTAATCTAGCTCGATGAAGCTATAACAACCCGTAAGTAGATGTAATTACAGCGTCCAATGAAATTTGATTATAGTTTAATCTCTGTATCCTTAAAAAGCTATTTGCTTAGTGTTACATAAATCATTCCTTGTAGTGTTTTTAACCGCAATTAATCGCAATATCTTTTTCCTTTTCTTTAATTTTTTCAATAATTTTCTATATATGATACAGTAGAAAATTTATAATAAATATGACCGAACACTCGATATCGGTAATTCTTCTTCTCTAAGAAGAATTTTTTTCTTGAAAGACTTCTTTCAATCTTTATAAAGTGTGTGCAAACTTTTTAATTATATCCCATTTCATATTAAACAGTACTAGTCAGCAGCTTATTATGAAATCATATAAATTAAAGGTTCCCCTTATATGTGTGCGATATGCAAGAAAGATATATATTTTCATAGTGCGCGCGTATAACTTTGCGATATAATCATACTCATTAATTACTGGTTTACACGGTGAGATTTTCCGTTGTAAATTTCGTGAGAGATTCGCTGTAATTGCGAAACACCGCGGGGAACAACTGCGAGTTTCATCTTCGCACATTCGGCCTGTCGCGATATAATTTGCGCCAAGTTCGAAAACTTTCGAGTGTAAACTGCACAGTCCTCGCCCACCGACATTGTTTCGCAACGATCACGACACAATGCCATGCCCTCCTGCGTGACAATGTATCGTTCACCGCTCCATCGCCCGGATTATTGCATTCGCAATGAAAGCTATGAAACGTTTAATATCGATTACAAATGTAAATGGCTGAATAAATAAGCGAACTAAAAGATAACTAAGGTTCATTAAATTAAGTTTACTCGCTACTTCCATTCTTATTTCCAAATTTTTTACGTGCCTAGATAGAAATATAAGTGCAACAAAGAAAATTTGCTTTGTTTTTGAAAAAATTATGTTCAGAAAAATGACTGGAAAAATTAATACCTCTCATTTTTCCTAAAATTGAATGATAGCTTCTAATTATTTCAATAAAAGTAAGTGAAACCGAAACAGAAATTCTTATCCTTAGAAAAAAAGAAACAGCTTTTAATCATGCTAAAGGAAGCTTGCCAAATAGGATCATAAAAAATCTTATCTTCGTTCGTATTTTTCATCAATCATATTTCCTTTCGTCTTCATACTTTTTCCATATATGAAAACATAAATTATGT